GCCCTCTCCTAGAATCTCCAATGAGACATAAGCCGTACAATGTGTGTGCGAATGCGCTTCTCCACAAAATTAACAATTATCTGTGATAATTAAAATATAATTTAAACCAAAGTTTGAATAAAAAGAAGCTTGTACAATTTTATCTTATTTATACGAACATATTTCTCGTGATGCGTCAGCATTACTTAATGTGACAAGCGTAATTTGTTGCGGGATAGAAAAGTGAAAACAAATCTCTTGTATTATGGACAACCGATGAAGGAATCGCTATTGCAATTCGCGAGGTTTTATCCGCTAAATATATCATAGGGATTGTATGAGCGGTCAGCGACATATTGAGTAGCCATGTTTGCTTATCAGTAATTCAGGAGAACGTAGATATCCCTGGATATAAAAATAATTTGGTTTATGGAAACAGACGCGTCCTCGATTCGGGTGGACGGAGTTTAGTGGTGGTTACGGCTACCATGACCATGCGAGCCTACGGAATAAATCATGAAGCGATCTCTCCAAGTTTCGTCCATAGTGTACGGAAGTTTCGTAAGACATAAAAAATTTCTGTAATATAGGCAATTCTTATTTTTCATTAATCTCACGTTGAAAGCGATTTCGCATGACGTGAGCAATTTTCTACGCGGAATGAAAGTGTAATAAAAGCCTTGCGGTTTGAAAATTTCATCTATGGATGCGACGGCAAAGGCGTTTGTGTTTTCCACTGAAAATCACGCCTTACAGCTTATCTCGTCGAGAAAAGGATTAACGACCAACGTGTCTCTTATCGGCATAGAGGTAAACCCCAATGGGCAAGGAACAAAAACGCAATGGCTAATGACGTTGACGCGGCAACCTGTTGTCCGGCCCTTTTGAATGGGAGTGCACGAGCAGGATGGCCGTGCTAATAAATAGCCCCGTCCGGTGGCGCATCTGCGTAGGAAAAACTTTACCCGAAAAACTCGAGCGCCCCTTAGGGGTTTTCGCGCGCGCACCCGCGCTCACCCCCTGAGAAACAGGAGGCGGTATTATCATTATAATCACGCATCAATGCGCTGATCAGCGGTATTGTCATACCAAATGCTGAACTCGAGACAGCACGAGAATATACAATGCGGATGAACTATGGTGGTTTTTAAAGCCGCCTTTTTTTGTGAAACACGCGATCCCGAGAGATGACGTCCCTGCGACGTGGATTTATTCCAAGATTGTTAATTAAGCATCTGAAAATGGAAACATTTAATAATATAGAGAGAAATTATTTTATTCTCTATCATGCATTTAGATAATTCTACATTAAAAATTATGAAATAAAATGATGCTAAAAAAATAATTATTTTAAGCAATATGTTTAAATAATATCAAAAAGAAGTATTGCAAGCATCAGAAGAGCTCTCATTTCTTGTCACTTGTCAATTGAGTTCGATCTCTCGTTTTTGCGAATGCTTACAATTAAAACGGTTGACAGGTGGGGACGTCTCGATTTAATATAGACGAAAATAATCAGAGGACCACTTCACGAATCGTGCAAGTGCAACTGCAAACAAACTCTATCATAGAATTCTGGACACTTCGCTATTCCGCGCACATGTTCCGAATTCGCAAGCCTAAGGGATGCCACCCCATATGAGCGTCACATATGTCGAGGTCTCTTCGACAGGACCCTTCTTGCCGACCCATGATGTACCATACGTACTGGTGGTACCTTGGTGCTTCGATGGCCGTAGGGTGCATCTATACGGATATACTATTACGGTGGGACAAGTGCGGTTCGCTACGGCAACACGCCCCCGTCTATTTTAGATTTTGCAGAATCATCGATCCATGGTCGTGCGCGAAGTTTACATTGTCGCTGTTTTTGCACCCCCAAACTTCACAATAGGAGAAAATCAAACAGCAATATCTTATAATCTTGAAATGATACCGAAAATCTTAATGACATTAACATTTATGATTATTTTATTATTGCAAAAATAATATGTGTATAATTACGTTAATGAAAAAAATGTATACATAAGATAAATATGATAAGAAAACGATTTTTCATTGAATAAATTTCTTTGGTAAAGATATTTCACATTTTATATTTTTTTAGCTATTATCAATTCTTAACTTTTTTAATAGTTATGCAATATTTCTTTCTGACGACTCATACTTTAATCAGTAAACATTTTCCTAATTATCGATATGCCAGCTATTGAACTGAATCGAAAATCCGGTTGACAGTTTCATCCCCTTAAGCCGACGACATATGCAGGGATGAATTCCACGTGGAACAAACAAGAAAACCAGAATCTAAATATTATCATAGCCAAATAATAGGCTTAAAAGATAAGTTAACTAATGCAGGATACCTATATCTACGCAAACCGTATAACAATACTAAAAGTCGCACGACCCTTCCAATTGATAATTGGATTTGGCCAATGCGATGATGTTCATTTGACATCATTGGGACATTTAGGAACGTCGATACCGCTTGCTATTGGATTAGTTGAATATTTGAGAGAAAAAAAGTTTTTTTTTTCACATAAAATCTATCAAAAATATTTTTCATTTGATATTTGTATCTCTTTTTTATATTAGTGTTATCAATATCTCTATTAAATACATAAATTGATGCGTTGCAAGAGAAATGGAAATGGAAAAATGAAATATAAAGAAATTCTTACAAGACTTTATTGAAAAATAATAATTCAATTGTAACGGAGGATTCTTGCAAAGCATTTTATTTTTGCAAACTAAAACGATCTTTTTTTATGAACTAAGGCATAACGGAGCAAAGAGCATTTCTAAATAGCTTCTCATACCCCGGAGTCGCGTCATTGACATAAGGTGGCAATGTTACAGGCTGTTGGGCAGCTGAGAGGGATCTCATGAATCACGGCAGGAGAAGAGAAGACGAGCTTCAGAAAAAAGGAGATTGAAACCGGTTTGGCACGCGCGCATGTCGAGTGTTTCGTAATGACGCCTGCAGACCCTCATTAAGCTTCATTATCTTGCCATGTGATAAACATTAATCGGCGACCTCTGACACTTTGCATGTATGGTGGATGTACATTAAATAGTTTCAGCGATTACTCACGGTTAAACTTGATTCCGTAACTAGTACATTATTAGCAAATAAATGAATATTTTAATCTTATTTGAATGCTAGTATTTCTTATAACCAATATAAATGCACGTATATTTTTAATATATATATATATATATATATATATATATATAACGCGCAGCGCAATAAATAATGTCCTCAATATTATTTTTGAGTTATATACAATTAAGTTAATCGATAGTATAACAGATAAATACAACAGAATATTCAGAAATGTTTGCAAATGCAAAACAGTCAAAGATGTAGATTCACGGTTGAAGTGGAAAGAAGGGAGAAGAGCCAAATTACCCGGCACAGAACACATTATCTCCACTTGATAGGCCCCATACCCTCAAAGCAGTGGCTCTCCGATGTAAATTGTTCAAACAAGATCTTGAGGAAAGAATAGATTTTCTTCAGACTTTACACTAGTAAGAGGATTGCGAAACACTGCAAGTCTTTTCTTTCTTCTTTCCCTTCTAACTTCGCGATTGCCTTTATTTTCCTCCATCACATAAATTTATTCAAACAAATTCTATAATTACTTTTTCGACCCAACTGCCACTCGACTTGAGATTTATATACTCGATTACATAGTAACGCTTAATGTTTCTGTCGTTTACAGAATGTATATTATAATTTTTTGTAAAGTTTAATCTGTTTAAAATAAAATCAAATTTTTTCATATAAATTCTAACAAACTTACAAATATTTCTAAAAAGTTAACACATAACCAATAGATAATTAAACACTTTTGTCATATCAGGATATATTTTTAAAAACTGCAAGAAATTCTCTGAATAAATGATGAATATGTAACTCTCTACATTGAATGAATATCAATGAATATATCAAAAAAGAGAATTTAATTAAATTTAAAATACGTAAATGAAGAAAATATAATTTTTTTACTATTTAATTAGCTAAGCACCAAATTGATGTATACTAATCGATTTAACAGCAAGTAGAACGGGTGATCTACGACGCGGCGAAGAGAGAGTGAGTTTAACGCCAATAGAAATGGTATGTCAGTTGGTGACAAGACTCGATAAATTCTTGAGGGAAAAGATCACAGATTTCTTTATACTCTGATTATATCCTGGCAAAAACTATGACAGAACGCGAGCACAAAACAATATTTAGAGCAGAATAAAAGATATTTTTGCAATATAGGGTACATCTAAATGTCATTGCGTTAAAATAAGATTCCAGCGAGAAGCTATGTATTACGTTCAGCCAAAGCAATCTAATTTTTTGCTGCACAATATTTAAATCGTTTTAAATACAAGCTATCTACCAAAATCGCATTTTCTTAAGAAAGTAAGTTATATTACTACGGCAAATAATTTTCCAAAAATGTTCTATAATAGCAAAATTTTACATAAAATTATCTCCATCCATACAATTTAGTTTATCGTTAGAAATAATGTGATAAAAATTACGAGAAAATATTTGACGTACTGCAGCTGAAAAATACCTAACTTATCTTACAAAAAATCAATAAAAAATTAAGTTGTAAATTTCATGAAGAAAAATGCATAAAACTTTAAAAAACATTTATTCAAGTACCCGAAAATGCAATTTCTCGATATTTTTAAGAGGTTTAACCCCTTACATTTTTATTCCAAGGAACGGAGCGTCACAGTACCGACCCTGAGGGTAGTGCGGCTCGCACCAGAGTGACAGTCTCATGACGTTGCCGTAGCGGCGCCACAATCCTTGGTATCTGGAATGGGCGTCGAGATGGATACAGACAGCTTCATCCATTGGTCGAGGAACTCGCAGTGGATTGGTGCAAGGCACCAAATGGGTAAAACCACCCCAACGGTATGGTCGCTGCGCGATGTCGTTCTTGGCCGCGCCCACCACTATCCTCAAAGCCCGACCCCACTGGGACCTGCAGGCACGCCGCTAGTGCCGGCCCTGACACATTCGACAAGCGGCTCCGTAACGGGAAACAACGTGCGACTGGGGACCTCGAAGGACCTCTCCGCTGGTCACGAGATACGCTTGAGACGTCTCGGCGACGACGATAATACGTGCCAGGGTGCCTCCGACGAGTGCTCAGATTACCACTGCATACGTTCACGTGTCCCAATATATCATCATCAAGTAGAAAAAATCGTAAATCAATTTCGAAGAAAGCATCATCATAGAGACGATCGAAGAGAGGGTTGAAGAGATAACGCATGACGTCCGGTACGAGATCTGCGAATATGCGGCGCATCGTGTAGAAAGTGATTAACAACCGGTGATAAAGATCCGCGAGATTTGGCGAGAAGCAACGCGAATCGAGATAGAGAAAGAGAAGAGACACTTTCGCGATTCTGCGCGAGCGAACGAGAACTGTCATCCAGTGAGAACAGTGCATTGTGAGACGCAACCCCTTAGTGCGCGCTCGTATCGCGAACTCGTGGCACGCACGTTTCGGACGCATGTGCATCGACACGCGGTCGGTGCGCCCGGTTTGACGGTGCAACCCGGAACGACGCGACACCGTCAGTGGTGAGCGGACATTCATGCACCGCCACGGGCTACCGGCCGCTGGCGTTCAAGTGATAACAATTCATGCGCGCATCTAAAGAAACGTGGCACCGAACATTTTCGCTCTGACGGAGAGACAACCAGTGGAGTCTCTCGCGGAAGCGCGAAGGGGTGGCGAACGAGGAGGCGACGAAGGTTTCTGCAAAGAGTGGCAACGCGAAGGAGGAAGCCTGTTGCCCCAAGAGAGTCCCTACGGCCTCACCACGCGGTCCGACGAGTGGAGCAGTCTCCTGCCCAGCTCCACGATCGTGGGTGCTGGGGGCTCGGCATGGCTCGGACTCGGCGCCGGGGGTGGTACCGGAGCCACCACGGGAGGCGGAAGTCCCGTCGAGCTCGAGGGTCACTGGGGACGTAAACTGTACGGTGCGAGTGTGGCACCGCCACCCCCGCCGCCTCATCATCATCCACGGGCGCCGTTGGTTTTCGCGCCTCAAGATATGAGGCAGATACTGAAGGAGGAACCTGTACCACGTGCTTGGCCGCAGCCCGCGCTCGCCGACAACGGAACGTGAGTACATCCATGTGTCATTTTTGCATACTCTTTGACAATAAGTAATCGAGACACATGTCAAATTAGATGTACTTATTGCCAGATGTATACAAAATTTATGTTTTATTATTCAAATTATATATTATATTCATTATAAGAATCGAGAAAAAATATATCTAACTATACATTAATGTGGAAATATTTTTGCGTGATACGTTTAAGATATTGGATTCGTCATGAAATTCTTTATTAAATTGTATAACTTGAAAATGCATGTGAGAGACATAACAGTTTCATGTAATTTTCCTTTTGCATTAAACAAGAATTTAAACAAAGGAAATATTTTACACGCAATAACTTTTGTACTAACTTTGTCAAAGAACAAAATTATCATCGCGCGGTAAAATTGTGTTGCTATCAATTTCTAAAATGTGATATTTGTATTTTGATGCAGTATATAAATTATATTTAAAGACATATTGTGCATATTATATTTCTACTTTGTTAATTGTTTGTTAGAAGAAAACAAAGTACACATTGTATAACATTAAAATTGTTTTACTTTTAATTTTTCATCTATTATAATAAATAATCAAAGCTCGTGATAATAAAAAATACAGAAATGTATTCATCTTTCATATAAATTGTGCAAATAAATGCGTGCTGCTTCTATGTTTGCCGACAGTTTGCCGTCGGATCGCACGGCGACCTATATCCCTTCGCATCCCCTAAAACTCGGTATTCACTAGAATTGCGACAATTTTAGATATATTTATCACAAATACACAATCAGAGATCAATTTTATATTTTACAAATATACACATTATAAATTTATCACAGAAAGAAATAAAAAAAAATGATTTAAGAAGATATAATTTATTAACGTAGTAATATAAAATTCACTCTTCTATCATTTATCAACAAATCAGTAAAATGCAATTTTTTCTTTCTTTGCACCATAGAACGGTGAATTGACCCTTTAGATCTTTTTCTTTCCTATTATCATCGTTTCATAGATGATAACGCTGAAAATTGACAGCATAGTTACTGTTGCGTGCTATGAAAACAAATAGTCTCTTTATTTTCACGAGCATATCGTTTCAAATCGCGATGTTACACGTTCCTGCGAACGATAAACCGTGCTTTATTGCAGTTTCGTTTAAAGGATTTGTACAACGTACAAACGACGAAGGCACAAATATCTACTACTCAGCAAGGTAAACCGGGCGAGCCGGCGGATTCGCTAATCCAATAGCGGTTCTCTAACTAATCCCTTCCTCCAAGTACCGTGACACGAGGACCGACCGGAATCGAGTTAATGTAATTGAGAATTTTAGCGCCTTTTGCTCATCGCTTCATCTCGGACTTTCCCCGTACTTTCTCCCTCGTTTATCCAATCGTTCTTTCTGCAGACAATTCTGAAGCCTCTTCAAGAAGAAAGACAACTCTATTTCATTCCGCACTCGTGAAACTAAAGCGCGAATTTTATTATAACTGCTCAGATAGTATTACGTTACAAGATTATTAAAAAATAAAAATATACAAAGAAATATAAGCAAATGAAGAATTAAATTTTAAATGCGAATTAAATATATTTTTCAATTAATTATATATTTGTATAAATATAAATTTAACAGTATAATGAACTTTTTATAATATAATGTACATAATTAAATCGCATAATTTTAGAATCATTACAAACATGATTAAGCAATTGATATGTTACATGATTCAAATTATTTATTGTAAGAAATAATGATAGGCATCCAAATTTCAGAGAGAACATAATTTTTCTTTTTATTAAACTTAATTATATCAATGTTGCGGCAATCAAGATAAATTGTCTTACAAAGTTTAAGAGTCGCAAAATGTTAAGCGTCAACTTTCGCCTTCATGGAAACTCAAGCTGGAAAGTTTCGTTTCCTGCTGCGAAGAACGGTTGTACCACACAACTGCGTTACATCGAAATCAACTAGAGAGAGAAAAGAGAGGAGAGGTTTGCGAAATTGTTTTAAAACTCCCGCGAAACAGAGGCATAAACTCTCACGCTTTTTAAAAACCCCTAAAAAAGTTTTCCACCTAATGAAGCAATAAACTACCGCACTCGACGGAAGGGACTGTCGCGTAGCAAAAAAAACGTATGACTTCGCATATGAATCAGAGATAAAAAAGAAAAAACGAATGGGAGAAAAATTGCAATCGATCTTCGAAACGGTTAGTTGTCTGACAAATCTGGGGAAAAACATATCGCAATACATATATGTATCGCTCTTTCAGTATCATAATACGTTTGCATTTTATAATATAAAATAATAAATAATGTTTATATATTTATAAAAAATTATTAATTAAATTGTATATATATACATATATCATATTAATTATATTTAAATTTATAAATATATTTAATAATTGAATATACTAGCCGATTAAAATATAAATACTTTAATATGAGAGCTTTAATTATTTTAGCTTAATTAAAATCCACAAAAATTATTTATTATATCGCGAACATTCTTACGCAAAATATTCGTAAAATATACATACTTGTCGTGCGTCTATTAATAACTAATGTATCATTTTTATGCAGAAGAAACATTATGAAACGATGAAACATGCTAAATTGAACAACGCTCGCATTAACACGTGTGCTCATAGCAAATTACATTCGGATATATTACAAATTGCTCATTATCTCCGCGCGCATTATGAATCGCGTTGGGTGCGAGCGTAAACAGAGAATGTGCTTCGGGTAAACTCGCAACTAATATAACGCCCGACGGTGCGTATTACCCGCGGATTTATTGTAATTCTCTACGATTGCTTTATCCGTGAATTCGTAACCATATCAGTGCGGGTTCGTATTATCCGCATATTTCATTCATAATGTACGGCGCGCGCGGAATAGCGTAGGTCGCATTTCGTGTATAAAGTATAAGCAATATCGATCATTTATCTGACAATCCGCCGCTCTCTCCAAATGCTTCGTCGCAGATTATGCTTCGTCATCGTTTAAATGTCGATTATACGTCGTTATATCCCGGTCTCTGAATGATATCACAGATTTCACGGAAGCGAAAAAGCTCCATCGTATAATTTTTTCCTAACGCGATACATAAAGCGCAATTCTCCTCGTAACTTCATATCCGCACGGTTCGTAAATCGCGCGTATGTCTCGCCTTTATTCGCTTTTATTCATCACATAATCGTGCGAAATAGTCACACGTAATAAGTTCACGCAGAATTTTTTTCTCGCGACATCGAGACGTTGCGTTGGGAGCGAATTATATCTTCCCGCGTATTTTGCACCGCGTTATTTGCGTATTTGAATACACGTCGCGCTTTGGGATATCGGGATGTGCAAATCGAATCGAATCGCACGATTTTAGTTAAAAGAATAATCATCGCGGTGGAATAACGGTGGGGGATCGAATGATTCGCAGGTGCCCGAAACGAGCACCGGGGCGTTATCTGCCAGCCGAAAGTGCGCGGGTGGCAAATTGCACGCACGAATACAGTAAACGCGAATGGAGCCCGTAATTATCACCTCGGTGTCGGTCGGTAGGGCGAGCAACACGCGCGCACCTATAAGCGCATGAAGCGCGTTACACTCGTGTATTCGTGCAACGTAACTCATAAACGTTCATAAACGTTGAGCGTCCCGTACGGCGCTCATACTACGAGAAATAACGCAAAAACAGTCGTTTAAGGAACGAATGTATCGATAAAAATGTTGATTTTTTTTTTATGCTATATGTTTGAAATTATGACGTTTAAAATTAACAAATTGCGAATTTGCATGTTTTTTTTTCTTCTCTTCTAAATTTACATCTTCCTCAAGCAAGTATTATTTGTTGAAAATTGAATTATGAAGAATTGCGCACATTACCACGATCTTCAATTTAATCATTATTAAATTTTACCAAACGTTCCGACTATTTTGGGATATATATTCATTTATCAAATATTTAATTACAAAATTTTTTTTGAAAAAAAATTGTAATTACACAGCTTGTACTATTTTTTATTTCTATTTTCTCTCACGTTTTGTTATAATATATGTATATAAAATTTTAACTTATAACTTAACAAATACAATGTAAATTTAAAATGAAATGAATTCCACCCTAAAGAAATTTACGCGTAAGTTTTGCACGCACCGATAACCGCATACGCATTATTGTCACGTTAGAGAGATACAAACTGCATGCGTATGCGCGGTTTTCCGCAATCCTCGATAGTCGCCTCCGAAAAGGCGTGGTGGTGCATCGGTGCGAGGCGATAATATAACGGTATACGGCGGAACGTGCCTACACGTTATACAGGAATTGGTGCATGGCAAACGGGGCAAAATAATCGGACGTCGAGAGTTATGGGGCGCGAACCGGCGACCGGTTAATCAGCCACCGATAATTATCGACACGGGCAGTACATCACTCCCCTTCCTCCACGGAAACGCGTCCTCCCTTTGCCGTGATCCACCCCGTTTGTTCCCGAAAGCCCGCGCTCCATCCACCACCTCGCGTTTCCACCCCCTAGACCTGCCGGCGGCTCGGCATCCCACCACCTGGCGTGACAAACGCACCGCCGATACCATCATTTATTTCGCAAATGTGCTGCAAAACTGCCGCTATTCATTTTCGGTCCAGTCGATTCAGTTTTCCGCTCCGAGGGTCCGCCCTGATGGCTCTGTGCGCGCGGCTCTGTGCAGTCGTGCGATGGTTTTATCGTTTCGCGACGGCACGATCATGCACACACAGAACCGGCGCCGATAATGCGATTTCTCGGCGGTGATTTTTAACCGCCGAGCGCAATAAACGTTCTGCGGAAAATTCGAAAAATCCGCAATCATATTTACTATGAATCGACAACGATTCATTGCTGCGATCCGGGAAGAGTTTCGCGCAGCCTATATTTTATAATTTTACAAAAAGAGGATTAACGGAATGAAACCGAAAGAGCTTTCATCAATAATGATAAAATTGAGACCGTGTAATAATCACTCTATCGCAAGCATTTTAATTATTAACATCAGTATATGAAAGAATGAAGGGTAAAACGGTGATAAAGACCTCCGAGTATTACGAGATCTATTCGCATCGAGTGATACTGATATCCTGACGCAAACTAGGCAAAGTGCAACGAAAAGGGGACTTTCCGTGCCATTACTCAAAGATGGCATTGGAGTCCGGCGGCCTAATCTCGGCACATGAGACCTTAATGGGATTTTAAGGCGTCGAGGCCACCTGCGCGCTTCCCCACAGTCGACCTCGTTTGTCTTTTCTCTCTGCCAGTTTGCGCATTCTTATTCCACTCAAAGACTGATACATCTATTCGACTCCATGGAAGAACATAACGTTTCACTTGACTTTAAGGATTGCCAAATTGTTGCCAAAGATCATTTGTGCGCTTGTTGTAATAAAAAAATTAGTATTATCTTTCTGCTATCCTATTAAATATTTAAATATGTTTACTTTAAATTAGCTTAACAAAATGTGCTTTTTTTATCAAATATATTTAAATTCTAATGCAAAACAGACAATTATTATGGACGGTATTCTAAACTGTGTTATATCTGATTGATTGAACAGGGTTGGCGTGGGCCGGGCGCATTTCGAGAAACAACCACCGAGCAATCTGAGGAAAAGCAATTTTTTCCATTTCGTAATCGCACTTTACGATCGACATGGCCAACCGATCGAGATTGAGAGGACGTCGTTCATGGGTTTCGTCGAGAAAGATCAGGTAAATGATTTCTACTATATTCGCACTTGATTCTTTAAAAACTTCCAAGACCGTCTGATCGACCGATAAATCGCGGGACGCGAATTACTGTCCTAAATCGTGACAGCGCAAAAGAAAAAATGATCTGCCGCGAAAAAAGCTCGTGGAGAAGAGCCCGATCTCTCGCGTCGAGACATTTTTCTTTCACGAAGGCGCGCGTCGATGGCGGCGAACGAGTTTGCGAGCACCTACCAGCGGTGGAAATGACGATGGAGCGACGATAGCGAGTGATAAGTTCGGAATTTCAATGCTTCGGCCTAACCGCCGCTCTCCCGGGAGGCCGCGGATGGAAAAAAGGAGAGGACGATGAGGCCCTTTATGACGCCAGGGAATATCGTGCAAGCGCAAGCGCGCGCGCGCGCGCTTATCTCGATAATTGCCGTTTCCATCGAGGCCGGCGTCAAATATTAAACAGCGACGCCTACGCGTGTGTGTACGCGTATCGATAGTCGCCCGTATAGAATCCATAATCCGGCGTCTCTTTTCCGGCAATTAGTCGGACGAGCGAGAAATCCATCGGCCGCGTGAGAAATGGATGGACGACCGCGATGCAGGATCGGTCACGCGAAGCGCGAATGACCTACGAATAATAAAGAGGCGTCCTGAGAGGGTCTCTCGTCGTACCTTCGATCGGAGATTACGCTTTGACGAGCGTTTGTTAACCGGGCACTCGCGCGAGAAATATCGGCCTTCATATATACGGGAAATTACCGTAATTGCCGACGATACAGTCTATACAGCTAATTATATAACAATGAATTTTTTTCTGTCATACGCTTTTATATATTTTATGACGCGATATGCTCATATGTATAATATAGATGTATATGCGAAAGGGCATTTTGCTCGTATACCTTTAAGACCTTTCACGTTATGGCTATGAAACGCGACGAAGCTATTTTTTTACGCTCAATTTCGCTGTCCTGGATACCACAAGTCAGCTCAGAAACAGTGCTGTTATATAAAGATAATGTTTGAAACGATCATCTCGCGCAAAAATTATAATACAATTATAATCATACCAGATTTTACGTCTAAATTACGCGGACTTTGGACACACGATAATTGAAACACCTAAATTGTGACTCTATATATACGAAAATTAAATGGCAGCTGCTAATTGTATATACTTTTCCAATCGGCAGGGAATAACGCGCAATAATTCACATCGATTCAATGAAAATCGTCAAACAGCTGTGAATCCAAGTTCGTAGAGTTATTGCAATCCCGAAAGAATCTCTCGAACGGGACGCGATTGTCAGCGTTCAGTCATCGTTAGAGCTCCACTTTCTATTGGTCAATTAGTATAGCTGTTTAAGGAGAAGTTAACTGCCGCCGCGCGACGCAGCATCCATTCTTGCGCAAGAGAAATCGTTACGTCGAGAGATCTCTCGCGAATTTGCACAAGTATATATATATATATATATATATATACATCTCCAGTATATATACGTATACGCAAAACAACCAGCATGCAGCGCGTTTTATGGCATTACATCGATCGATCGGATCTACATTAAATGCAATACGTAGCGAGCCATAGTGCACGCTATCGTATACATATATATGTGTATGTACCAAACAACCGACGGAAATCCAGATGCACGACACGAGGACGAGCCAAGGTCCACGCGCGTATAAATTATAGAAATGTAATCCCGGCCGTAACCTCTGAAATTCTGGCAAGTCCCGTATAACGACGACGTCCTGTCGGAAGTCCCTCTGTCTCTCTCTCGTCCTCTCTGTGCTTTTCTCTTTCTCTTCCTCTATACCCTAAGGTAACGAGGTATACTCCCCCTAATAAATCTATCCGCCATAAATCGTCGGCTAATTCGACAGGAAGGCGTATAGATCGCGTTCTCGGATGTAGGATTTAAGAATGTAACAAAGCGCGACTGCCGAAGGTTGTGAAGTTGGGCAAATCGAAAATTGGATTCCACCAATAATTCCATCTGTAATGTGCATGAAGAGACAAAATAATTAATATTTAATATTACATGTAATATGAAAAAATAATTAGAAATTTTATCTTACGTTATATTATAATGATACTTCTAATAATACTAGTGATTCAAAAAATTTCTTGCAGTCGATTTGATATAACAGATATAATATACATTGAAATTCTATTCCTAATACAAATTTTTTTATTCCAATATTGGATTTGCAAAAAGTTTACGTAAAACGAATATTAATATTCTCTTCTTATTCTTGTTACACTGTTCTTTTCAGCATCTGTCGCTTCATCTTTCCACAAATCTATAACGCTCCCGCTCGTTCCTCTCTCCTATCCTGACCTTATAATACGTGCATAATTTATGTTGTCGGGACAGTTGCATCGTTGGCCTCCCTATTAATTAGGGTCATGCACCGCGGACATGCATCAACCCCGTGCCGAGTTCGTACCTCGAACCACACACCTCCGGCCCATTGCCGATCTTAATCGGAATTGTGTTTTACTACAGTTATAGCGTAGAAATATTTCCGTCAAGAGCTGCTGTGTTGTATCTTAACGCGAGAAATATAGCACATATTTAAAATTATACCAAAGATATTAATAATTAATTAAAGATTAGTAATAATTATTTACAGCATTCCCTAGAAATGACTGATAAAAATCTCAAGAGCATATTTTATCTTTATTACTGTAAGAATAAAAATTACAACATCACAATTGACATATAAAATTTGTGCGTAAGTAATGTCAAAATGATTGCTTGTCACGGATGACAATATACAAGCAGGTGAATTGAGAGATCTCGCTAAACTCGATGCAACCGATGAAAAAAAAATGGTTCTAGATAAATACCTAGTATTTTCCCGTTCCGTCCGCTTTTTGCCCGCTTTAATTAAAAAGTAGTCGAAGAGAGAGAGCTGGCTCGACCTATCCGCGTGTATATCTGATTAACGTCCGTCCGTCGTGCGCGCCGGACGAATTTAGAGATTAATGGTTGCGACGAACACTGACGACAGGGAAGAGCTTAATGCGTGCGCTCGGTCGGGCGGTGCCGCGCGCGCGCGGCGGAAAAAAGGGAAGGAAGACGTCGTCGGTCAGACGCCGATCAGCGAAGTAGTAGGGCCGATTATCCGATGATGCGGATGTGAGCGGAGAGAGGGGAATATTTCGTTAGAAAAATGATCACTTCTCTCGTTCGTTCGCCGAGAAATCTTGCGATGGATTTATGCGGTGTTCTTATTCGCGTCTCTACTATTCTCGGGCTTAAGCTGATAAGCTATAATCTTGATATCTCTCCTACGGAACTCGTCGAAATGGAGCGACTGATACAGTCGAGTTGGAAATATAAGAGAGTTTTAAAAAAATTAGATTGTCCATGACAAACCTAAAATGTCGTAAAAAAATTAATATTAAATTAATTTTTTTTTTTTTATATATTCTGAATAATTTTTATTTATATTTGAAAAATTATTACGCATGTATTTATATCCAAGAATTTATAAATATGAACATATTTAATATCTATATAACTTTACTATTTGTGATTAGGTAATTAAAATTTGTATATATTCTTTTTGAAATAATACCTATATAATTTAATTCTCTATATTTGTGAAATACATTCTTTTATAAATATGGCAATCAACGTATCGTATTAATTCATCTAAAAAAAAAACGATACAATTTATGAAAGGTTAAAGGTCACGATATATTAGAGAAAAATTCTATATAATTGAGTAACATCGCGTTTCTGCGCGGACAGAAGAATAACACAGCGTGACAAAGTTTTACTACACATCTATGCGCGTAATTACGTTAATTTGACGTAGAATCGATCGGACTGCCAACGTTTATTCTCGAAGCGAAAGGTCGTATGCACGACTAAAAGTCGTGGTTGTGGCGTGGAGAGGGAAGAGAGAGGGGTACAGTCGTGGGTGTACCAGCGACCATGATGTTCCGGGGTTGGTAGTTGAAAATGCATTACCGCGGTCGCGGCATATGGCACGATGCACGCATGACTCGTCAACGGGGCAGGATGATAATTATGCATCGCACGCCATACGTAATGGCATGGCTCTTACCGGCGCATCAAGAAATTAATAATTAGCGTGAGGTGGAGCAGGCTGGGCACACACAGGCGTTGCGTCACGATGCACTTAATTAAAATAGAACGGAGCGCGAAGAACGCGAGACCGATAACCACTGTGAGCTACGTGTGTTAGAATTTGTGTGTGTATACATAATTTAAGAATACAATCGATACATTAATACAATGCGTTGTCATTTCCGTATACATATATGTATATTGTGTGTCTGCTTTTTTACAGGAGTCTGAAGGCCAGAAAACAAACAACGGTATCCAGTACAGTCTTCATCTACTCTATTCCAATGGTGAGTAACTGAAAATAATCTTTCGGATTTATTTAGGAAATAATTAAAATAATTTATTAATTTCAATCATCAACAAAGTGTAATCAATTTTAAAAATTTGTTTTTTCGTACTTTTGATTATTCAATCATTAACGCGCCGTATGTTTATATTAAATATTAACATTTTTTGGTCAAATAAAATATACATATGAATAAATATTTCGAAATCACATTTACCCGGAAAGGTAGCATGATCAGATAGACTTTCAAATTGATATCAGCAGATACGTATTCGTGCGTCTAAGAGAGGGATACGTAATAACGACCATCCACAGCGACGATGACGGGCCATGGACATTCCACGTGGACACCCGGTCTCTTAAGATCGCACTTTTTTAGGGACTTTTAAAGCGCAACAACAGACATATTTTACGTCACTGGCCCAGCGTGGCAAAAAAAAGGTCCAGCTTCCGCGTTGAAGAAGCGCATGAATGTGCACGCGAGAATGGCAGAGCGGAAAGAGGACAAAAGAGAGCAGAAGAAACGAAGCAGTTTGAAGGTGGTCCGACCAGCAGACCCCCGAAAAACGTCTTCGTATTACGAACATATTAAAAAGTCGCGAGGCGCCATACATCGCCTACAGTTTTTTTCCATATACATATACGCCACGGTCATCTCTCTATTCCTTGTTCTTGTCGTCGTCTCGTTTCATCGTCGCTATGAAAATCACCCTTCATCTACCTTTCTTCTGCCTCGTCCGTTTTTCCTTTTTCCGGGACTTAAACTACAGCGCACCCTTATTTCTCTCTTCCGTTGCCGGGGCCCGATCAATCAATGCAAGATTTTTGCGTTGACCGAGGCTCGACTGAGGGACCGCGCTCCCATCTATGGGCACTAAAACGTGTCGTCAACATCGCGAACAAGAAACAACTAACTGTTGCAAACTAAGAAATACCGACGTGCGTCTTTCAGCCGAGTTTTTCGTCTCTCTCGCGCGTTTCTTCACAATATTCCGGTTACCGCTTCTCGGTCTCGCGTATATTCTCTATCTACGAGAGAGTACGTGCTCTATTTGCGTCCTTGCCTCTCCTTATCATTATGCAATTTTGTCTCTGCTTTCTCTCAAACGCGATGCCATTCGTATCTGGTCTTGTCGGCAGCCGGCTTTGCGTATTACGATCCAAATCGACGAACATGAAAGATTCAGAAGCAAATTGGAGGATCATTTAAATTTAATGAATTGTATGCTGCATTCAAATCTATTCTAAGAAATAGGTTTTTTGTTACAAGTTCTTTGGAAATATAAAGGAATGATTTCTTTTAATTTTTTTAGCAAAAATAAAAATATCTGATAAACAATTAATTTCTCATTAAAAAAATAAAAGTTTATTAAATAATAATCATATATCTAGAAGAGAGAGAGAAAAGAAGTAACTCATGCATGGAATATTGGAATATAAAAATATTAATTACACTACTTGCAAAAAATGTTGAACAAACATTTTTAAAAAATTACCTTCTATCGCTCTTCGAACACAATGATGATGTAACGAAATTTATACATTATCGCACGCGAGTAGTACATACTACTAGCCATAGCTTTTTACAATCGATCGATACATCTGTGCGGCTCTGATTTATGCGCTGTAGATCGGACTGTCGTGTCGTTTATAAAAGTTTCATGCACGAAATACTTTGCCACGTGCACACGCGAACGAATGTTATGCCCTGGAGACAAATTGGATCGCGGACATGCCTCGTCTCTCCACGTCCACCGTTACACTGGCAGATCCACATCAGGTGTTCCCGTGCACGTCATGGCATCACCGATCGCTTCGCGCGCGACCAGGCAATAAATCTATAATTAAATAATAAATAAGGAGCGTTCCTTACGGTTCGAGTGACGACGGGCTCTCGCCCATATCGGGTCCTACTTCTTTTTGTCATCGCTCGTTCCTCCTGCGCGCTCACTTTTCATCCTTCTCTTCCTCGTCTACATAGTCTACCCTCTTCTTGCACGCTTCCCGTGCCATCGTCTCGCACACGCGAGCGATAAGAAACGCACAACACGTATTCGGAGAATAGAGACAAAGATGAAACGCGCGATTTTGTAGCCGGCGGAATATAACGCGGTGCATAATAAAAGCGCCGCTGATCAAGGATCGCTGATCAGAACGATATAATGGCCGGTGTTTGCTTTTTCGAGAAGATCGTTCTTGTTCCCCTTCGAACCTGGTCGCCTAGTTATGCTAATGCCAATCGACCTAGACTTATTTGCCTCCACTCACAGCGGGACATGGCACGCGAGTCATCTTTCTTATTCAGTGTGTTTTTCATCTCTTACCTTTATATCGTCGTCGCTGGCGATAAAATTCACACCCGGCATTCCGCATGCTTATATAATTACAATCAGAATCTTTTAATCAATAGAAAATGAATCAGTGTATAAAAAAATATTAATTTAATTTCTTCATTTTTAGAACATTGTCCTCTTTATTTTAAATGTTCTAAAGATTAATACTATTGATGTGTTATTGATCCCTCGAAAACTTTGATGGTTAAACACATATAATTATAAAAGAGAAAAATCAGGGATTGTATAACATTGAATAACACACATTTTATGTATTTTTGTATAAATTAAAATAACATCATATGTGTTAACGTTTAGAATCTTTTATGCCCGAAAAGTAAAATATTTTACAGAGATTCAAAAAATATTACCTCGTGAGAGACGTCAAACTCTTTATAGTTTAAAATTCTTTTTATCACAAATTATATTACGTTTACAAAAATATCTAATTTATATTTCCGTGTTGGATCGTTACTGATTAGAACACTTGTAGCAGAGAAAGCTAGATATTCCGACGGAAGCTGGCAGCAGTTATTCGGTCAGTTTAGCGTCGACCCGTATTTGCAAATCCTGACATGGCCACGGATACGGTAAACCGGTCGACTGCGTACGTAACTTCCGGTAAAGCCGCGACGGTTTCTCGAGGTAATTTGTGAGCTAGTTTCGAGCAGAGTATCGTAATCCGCAATAACGTTATGCGGCGGTGAGCCTGAACCTGGGCGCCCGCCGGGTCTGGGAGTCTTATGTCGGGATTACTTGGCTTACCGGGCACGCGAAGCCGGAAGCCACGGGGGTGTCTGTCCGAAATACACCCCGGGATTACCCGGGACTCCCCCAGGAAGGAAGGAACAGTTTCGAAAACTTGCAACGCCGAGACGTATACGTTGTAGGCAAACTATAATTACAATCCTGATAACACGCGATAATAGCGTGCCGATACGTACCCCGAAATTTTCTTCAAATTCTTTTCGCTATATAGCGTTTTGCAATAGTTATAATTACGAAATATATACAGATTAAGGACCTGAAATTTTTTTTATTGACACATGACATCAAGACTTGAAACATCTTCGATCTCTAATTGGAAACCGCGTTTACCTTAAAACGTGCCTTGTACATGCGTGGATATCAACGATCGCCGAATTCCTCAAGTTCGAATTTTTATCTCGAAAGAACATGCAAGGGCATGATAATTAACGCATACGTGCCTTTGGCTTCCTGTCGAAGGATATGGTGATGTCGGTACTTCAATGTTTCAAAACAGCGTCAGGATACAAAGAAGGAGAAATATGGTGCATACGTTTCGAGGGACAAGAACGAGTCGCTTTGTATCGCCGTCGACTTTAAATATTCCTTAATATGCAACTTTTTCTGAAAGACACGCTTTCGACAGCGATATGCTTGACAAAATTTGGACATGTTTCCATATTCGTCGCATTCCTCTCGTAAACGACGCGAATTCCTTGCGCGAAACTCTTTTTTACTTAATAGCGTTTTTATCGAGAAGAAAACAAAATTGTACAACGATAATATATTATCTCGATCTTTTATTGATATACTTAAACTAACATTATTTTATCTATTTTATAGGTGTCAGACAGGTCCAGGATATTTACGTCAGGCTTATAGACTCCGCGACAAAACAAGTAAGTGTAAATATCTTCATTTTTAATTTATAATTTAAATCTTATTCTATTAACGTTATTGTATATTTCTCATCAAGAATTAATATTGTATATATCTCATTATGTCATCACTTTTTAAAATTTTTTAATGTGACTTAAGAAATATTATATTCTTAAGTATTCTGATACAATTTCTTAATAATGACTTTCATGTCGAAAAACAAGTTATGTTCTTTTATTTTTATCATTTTAATTTCAATATTTAGTTTAATTTTTAAAAATATGGTACACATTAGCGGAATGTATATCTCGTATATTATATATATCTGACAGCAATTCAAGAGAAAATATACCAATCGTCTCTCCTTTTACGCAAGCAACTTTTGCATCATTCTCTTTTGCCATTTTAACGCAACAAGACTCGTGCGAAATCGTCGTAGCGATGCGCGCACGTGAACGGGGGTGTTATCATCTCGGCTACAAGCACTTAATTTTCCGGGGGGTTGATTCTTACCCCTCCGGGAAAGCAGGCACATCGCTGCGCGCGGCTGTCCCATCCTGTTATCTGCGCCACGTGGCGAACTCTGCGCGCGGCCCGCGAACCACGTGTTGTGATCCCGCACCCAGGGACGTAGATCCCTGCGCTTCGATAAGGGTGCAAAGGAGGATCACAACTTTCGTGCAAACGCAAATACACGGGCGCGATCGCGATCGCGATAAGTTTCCTTTTATATTCGTCCGGGGATACTTCTTGGACAACGACACTTTTGTGAAAAGAGTATGTTTCACACCTACGAGATGACACGTAAAGAAATGATTTCAATAAAATAAGTGGACATGAAAGTACATATATGAGTCATAACTTAAAAAATGGAATATATTTATATTTTCCATATGTACTTTATTGATTTCTTACAAAAAAATAGTAACCCTTAAATTATTGAAAATTATGTTACTTAAATTTAAAAAAACATTATTAATCTATAAGAAAAAGTTATAAATTACACAAAGAAGAAATATGAAGAAAATGCAAATAAGAAATTAAATTTCTTAAAATTATTTTCTTTCGTGTCGTGACCCGAGCTTCTAACAAGTTTCTATAGATATGCGCACCATTTTAGCAAATTAAATCATCTTGGGGTTGGTCGGTTACCGAGGTAAGAAGAGGGTAGTAGTAGAGAGAAGAAGGAAGCGAAGAAAGGAAGGAGCAAGGAGGGTTGGGGAAACAGAGCTGATGTTAGTTTTAGCTGATTAAATTACTAAGCCGCGGTGGCCTTGCACCGGCAGAGACCGGTCCTCAATTCGCGATCCATTCCTTTTATTAATCGGATCCGGGATGTCATAGGGTTGAATGGTTAGAATAGAAGGTGATCGATATATGCATTAATTTTTAAAGCAAGTGACGAAATAAAAAGTATATGAATAAAAAGAATATTAAACGCAAATATTGGTTTTAGAATACTAAATTCTTTTAATTTATAACACATACAATTTGTCCGAGTGTCTATATAAAATTATGCAATTTTTTAAAAAGATATCTTGATTATATATGTGACACATATCATGTAAAGCTTGTAAAACCGTCAAATAATAAAAAAGAACGAAAATGTTTATATCTAATAATAAATAAGATATAAATATATAATATGAATATAAAAAAAAATTAAATTTATATATGTATATGTGCATGTATGTAGTACAAATTTTGCATATACATATATAATATATACAACTTGAATAAAAGAAAAATTATATGCTAGAGAAAGAGAAGTAAGTTGAGAACACGAAAAGGAAAAAGAGGTCGAGAGAGTGTTCGAGGACGATTGTCCATAAAGAAAAGAAAAGCGGAAGTGATAGATAGATGCCGAGACACCCTTCTCGATTCTATGGAGGAATCATGCTGGTAAAAGGAGCAGAAAGCTGGGAGGGCGGGGGAAGAATCGAAAACGAGAAAGTTGCAATTTATACATCAAAGCTTCGATTGAACGCGTCTCCGCCACCCTGCTAGAACGAGAGGAAGAGATATAGACAGGAGAATCGATGTATATTTGCCGTGTCCGTGTGCACCGTTACATACAATAAAGTGCGCCAAGTGTTTAGTAAATCCAGATCGGTGTATCTCCCTGTTCATTGTTTTCTAGAAAATTGACAAACGCGACGCGTTTTCCAATTCATGATTAAAACACGGAATAAAAATCACTTAAAGCCTATATTAAAACTTCCTATCTCATACAAATTCGCTGATTTGGAAGATTATAACTTCTTAGCTTGAGCAATAACTCTCTAATAATAGTTTAAAAATATTAAGAATTTTATTCTCTCGTAATAACTGTTCTCGGTACATCTATGATTTTTGTAAGCTCAAAAGAAATTGTATAAATTAATCTCGTAAAAAGACATTTATAAAAACTTTTTACATAAGATTCTATTGAAAATACTTTCAATTTAATTTTCCTTAAATAAAAAAAATGGATTACTTCTCAAAATAAATACATGTAGTAAATATTTGTTAGAACTATCATCATTATTTTCACATTGAAAAGTTCACAAGTATTTGTGGAAAAGCCCGTTCCACTTTCCCGACGAATCCTTCACAAGCGCGAAGCCGAGTTACGGCTTGCAAATTGCGATTCGGAAACGCGCCAACTTTTCTCGAGACCGAATCAGGTGCTCGGTTATAAATCCGCAATAATTGGCTACACCGAGTCGGCCGCTGAGCTCGTGGTGAAACCTCCCAACCCTTAAGCTTTTCTTCAATTTCTTCGCTCCTCGCCAAGGTAGATATCTATATCAACGTTCGCTTCCTGGAATTCCAGCGAGCGAAGTACCTGTGCAACGAGACGCAAACGAAAAAGGAAGAGAGAAAGGAATGGAGAGAGTAGGGAAGAAAAAAAAGGGCACAGGATGTTGAGAACCGTGCGTTTCTCGGTGAAATTTCCAGAAAAATACGAGCTGCTTCCCGAGAAAGAAACGAGTTTCGTGCAGCGTGGCTGAACGGCTAACAACGTACGCTTTTAAGCGCTCGGGAACGAACTTCCGGCCGGCAAGAGGGGGACGAACGAGAGCTAGAATGCGCTTTTTCGCGGGATTAAAAATGCTAAATGGTAATTAGTTCCGGGGATAAAAAAGCATTTACAGGACATGTGTATGGTAGAAGCAGAGAACCGCGCAACGCCGTTATTCTAAATGAATGAACAACAGGAAATTGTATTTAACCTTTTTAAACTCCATCCGCGCGACGACTAGAAATGGTTCAATCATCAATATTTTTTCTCACCGTGCCGATTGGATAACATTTACAAAATATCGAAAAAAAAACCGCGTGTTTAATCGAATTATACGAGAATCGTTCTTTCATCATCTATATACTCCAAGATTTATTCTTTGCATTTTTTTCATCTATCTAATCGACGTGACATTTGTGAAGCCACAATAACTTATGTTATCGAGTTGAACCGGCATCAGTCTCAAAAAGTGCCTGTGGCTAATACTGAAATATGAGTATTTAACCATAGATTAAGGAAATAATAAGTTTGAGATAAGTTAATCCTAGGCAGATAAGGAGAGAAAGAGAGGCCGACGGCTTCCCCTCAGGCAATGGACAGTCTTCTAGGGGCGAGGGTAACATTGTATACATGTATGTATGTATGGGAGGCTGCCCAGACAATATAGAGGGGGATTCCCAGGAGATTTTTGGAATCGATTCGGGATGGAAATCATTACGGCAGATTTGAATGACTATCTTCGAATTTATCTGCATCCTTCCCTGCTTGCTTTCCGCCATCATCTCCAAGAGAACGACGTTACGTTCTTTTATTATCATGCACGTCGCTCCTTTTTCTACTGTCAAACGATATCAGTCTGTTGCCTACTGATTTCGATAATATAGTATCCAAAAATAAACATAAGATAAATGGAATATGGATGACAATTTCGCTGGCTTCGATCGTCATCTGATTATTCTTAGACCATTAAAACTGACTACTGATAGTAGTTACATTCATTTCTAAATCTGCTAATATTTTTCAAGAAAATCGCTAAGAAAGCTTAATTGTTAGCAGCTATTACATTTGCAACGTGAACAAGTTTGACAAGATGACAATTCTAAGAAAAATCTTGTTTTGATGCGTTGAATGCAATATTGTGTAATATGAATTAATTATGATCGGACACTTCGAAGGATCTTCCGCTATAAGTCCTCAGTAAGTAATTCCCGTGGGAATTAAGCTGGGCAGGGGCCCAAATATTCTCCTGGTGGGACCAGAAGGCAACAGAAGAAAGGCCCCCGAGGGGATCATACTGACTGGTCGCACCCTCAGGACCCTCCTTTGATGTCGTTGCCTCCGACCACCCTTCGCCTACTTCAGCTATTCACCCTTGAGACATCTTGCGACATAACCCCGCGATATCCAATAAACCGAGGAGCAAAGAAAGACAATGGCGCCTCTCTTTTGACACACCGGACATGTAAAAATGTAAACTGAATGTACAGCATATCGTAATGAGTCTTTACAAGTTTTAGATCTCCATGAGATACAGCTTCTGATGGAAATTCTGCACTTGTGTAATATTTTTATCTATTTATTAATTTGTTAATCGTAATTATTTCACATTAATAAAAAAAACAAACGCATGTAAAAATATAATATATATTGTTTTTGTTTCTAGTTATTCTATTATTTGTTAGAGATACAGATATAACATTATTAAAAGACAATATTTTTTGTGAAAACAAATAGATAATTTTCCAAAAAAAGAGAGAACACGTGTGATAAAAGTAATTGCTTACAAATTGTTCGCACATATTGCGCGTGTACACAGAATAAACAAAACCGTTCTAACTCAGGTAATAGCCGCTAAGCAAATAATATTGCATGTCACGTCGCACGTGTTACATGATCTACCAGACAGTTGTATTTAATCGATTATTATTGCACACCGCATGTACAAATATATAAACATCAAAAATAATTACAATGATTCAACAATTTTTAAAAGTCGAAAATTCAGATATTCTTAGTTAAATGAGACAGACTGATTTTAAAATATTAATTTCTCTATTATTATCACCACATTATTAGCACATGATATTTTTAAAAAATGCTACTAACTTTATTGATAATTTTTTAGACAATTTTCTTTATAATAAAGAAGCAATTAAATGTACAGTTAATATATAAAACGTTATATAATTTTGATTTTTTAGTACATATTTTTCTAGTTGCACAAGCAAATAATTATTAGTAAAAACCAATTTCTTTCATTTTCAAATATATTTATTATTACAGCATATTTTAAATAACTATCGCACACTGTTTTGTAAAAACTCACGTAACTATTACATCGAGTAGTCCTTTTAAATATAATGAAAAATCTTGATTCACATAACAAATGATATTTCACACAAAACTTAATTGTTTAGGTGTAAACGCTAGCTTTATCTCGCGACAAGGGTTAATACGTATAAAGTACATATTTATGTTAATTATTCCTGGTACAAATAAGTTTGCATGTCCCTTTACTATTAAGATTCGTAATAGCCGGACGGCACGTAACGTTCTATGACTTCTTCCTTTGCTCTTACCGAGAACGTGTACTTTTCCCCTGCCATCGTGGGCGATACCCCAAGCCCTTGCAAGCTCTTCCGCCATGTTTATTTCTGCCCCTCTATTTTCCATCCTGACGTCTCCGTTTCGACGCCGGATCCCTCTCTGATTTACCTATTGCGATATACATATACAGCCACGGTGGTTCGTTTACGTTGCAATTCGGTTATTTCGTCCGCATAAATATTTGACGCCATTCTGGAAGTCGCACCTACACGTCGGAACCAAGTGCGTCTGATACCATTACTGTCATACACCGACGTTTAACCGGCCAAGCGCGCGCCAGCGGTGCCGTCAACTCGACGAATTCCTGGGACACTGTATTTCACAATATTTACATTTTATCGCTCTTCTCCGCGAACTCTAGCGATTCAGGTTGTTATGCAAACTACGAAATTGCGTAGAAATCGTGCATACAATCGATACGATTGTACACGTTTGTTCTTTGAACTTTCCCAAGCTCCATCAAACGTTTTGATGTTGAAAAAAATTTCAAAACTGGCAAAATAATGATCAAATTTTCTTAAATCGGAACAATCTAAATAATACAATCTTAGCGTATTTATTGTAATAAAAAAATATATATATATATAAGCTGAACAAAATATAAATATCACGTTTCTTATTATTAAAGCAAATATACATATGACCTATAAATTTAATTTTATACATGGATAATAACTGCATTTAAGAAATAAGCTATTCTTCTATTTCGAAAAGCTATTATACATGAGATCAAAGCGCGAGCCTATCTATTCGCGCTTTGTTATTCCACAGTTAATCCGCGCGAAGGTTTCCATCGGTAAGTGCACGAATACAGGATAACGACGTGTTGTCATTAAATAAAAATCAATCGCGTGGTCGTGAAGGAGGCTTAACGGATTTGCTTGCGCCGCCCATGGCTTAGTAGTCCTGCGGGGAAAGTAGCCCCTGTTCTCATCTCGCTCCACATACGAGCTTGCTTAATACGTTACATATTTTCCATCGGTGGTAGAATTATCTGCCGAACTGGATTACTCCTACGTAGTCTGCGTCCACGCTAATTAGCACTTTTCTCTCTTTAAAATAAAATCTGAAAGAAATCTTCGCGTGCGTATCAAAAGCAAACAGAATTCACGATAGATGTTGCAAAAGAAGTTCAACAATAAGTAACGACTACGTTTCAAAGTTTGGCAGAATAAATAATTTTTATAGGGGAGAGCAAACGCAGCTTACACAGATAGAAAGTTATTAATATTTTGCCAGTTACTTATTGCGAGCAGAGAAAAATATTGATAACTTATACATTACTCTTATTCTGTTATAGGCAATCATGTACGAGGGACAAGATAAGAATCCGGAAATGTGCCGCGTTCTTCTAACGCATGAAGTTATGTGCAGGTTTGTGTGTTTAAAAATAATTTATTTTATATAAATCATTTTTATAATAAAGGGAAACTCTCAAATTCGACATGAATATTAAAAAAGTATTTCCTTATCTGCTTATATAATTATTTTTAAATTATTAAAGAATCTGTTATTAATATACTTTTTTATGGTGTAAAGTTGCTTCACACTTCAGTTTACGTTATTTGCGCTTAGAAAAATATCCCTCTGTATAGGCAGCCACCCTCGTGGCATAAACATAACGAGGCATACGGGGATGTAGTCGTTTTCCGGGGGTGGCTGACTCATTGTGACCCATGGGACTTCGGGAGCGCACTACCACTAGTTTCCGCTACCTACTTCTCGAATCCCAAGGGTCTCGGTATTTTTTAGACGGACTCGAAACTTCTGACTCCGCTGAAGCTTTTTATATTCGTATTCTTTCTTAGAAAAATAAATTTTTCCCGCGCAGAATAATTAGAGAGAAACTCGCTTTTTGCTTGCAGTCGATGCTGCGATAAGAAAAGCTGCGGCAACAGGAACGAAACACCCAGCGATCCTGTCATCATCGACCGGTGAGTGGAATCTGTCATCTAATATTATATTCGCGGAGCAAAAACGTATCGATATCGGGACCACTATATGATCAGCTTAAACGCACGTGTTTATCTCGCGTGTTTATTACGCAACGACCGAGCTTTTACGATTACAAAAGCGCGCATGACGAAATCTCGATAGCGAACGTAACGACGAATAGGCATCGATTCCGTAGAAACGCCTCTCGTATCAGCTTGTCGTTCACGCTATCATCGTTTTCAACGATCTACGAAATAAGGGGCCAGGTAACTCCTTCTCGAAGGAGATTCGCCTATATATAAGATAGAATCCCGTGTACGAAGCTCCTAGGACATTTAGGCTTGCAAAATACGTTTTCTACGAGGTGCGACGAGGCTGCCGTGTAGAAGAGTACTCGAATACGTACTTATACATTCTCTACCTTGCGCACGGTGCTGCTCGTCCATGGTAACATAGACTCCCCTTGTACATCTATCTCGCTTGTTCGCTCTTCCTCTCGCGTGTACTAGCTCTGTCTCTCCCGGCGCGGCTAACACGAGAGAAGCAGGGTGAGCCTGGTATCTGAATAGGCTATAGAGTGTCCTGAGATAGGAACGGCAGGAAGGAAGAGGTTTCCCGCGGGACCTGGACCGAGATAGTCTTCAAGAGGACATCTTGTGCTCAGGGATGCTCAACTCTCGGGCCTCGATACGTCGGCGGCTTCGAGCTTTCATCCGTATTCGAAGGGATATGTGTTACACGCCGGTGACAGGCAAAAGCCCGATAGGCCTCGCGCGTAACTATTTTTCTACGCCTTTGAGTCTCCCGACGTCTACACCTGTTGGGTTTTAACCCCGATGCCATGTGTGACAGTCGTGTTTTATTCTCCAATATTCGAAACTAACTTGGTAGCGACATAACAAATATAATTTTCAGAAATAAATATTTTAAATCGGCTCTCAATATAAACAATATAAATATGATGTTTTCTAAATCGACCAACAGAGCCAAAGAACGAAAAATTGTAAAAATTAATTATTCGGAACTGTATCTCTTGATACGAGATTACAAAGTTCCATATATAAATTAATCTCGAAACATATGGAGAAATAGGCGAGAAAAATATAATTTTATTTCGAAAAATATTTATTAACCTAAGCTTCGTGATTTTCAAAATAAAATTGCAAACAAAATCTTAAAAATTTTAAGTATCTTAAAAGATTTTTAATAATACAATATTCGATGTGTTGATTAAAGTACGTCTATGTACATATCGTATTACAGGAGAGTTGAGAGAATAATAGTAGCTATATCCGTTCTAAAGATTATGCAATCTCGTAGGCTGGTCCGATCGGTGAAACGATAGAAGAATTAATCTCGAAAATGCTCGTTTGGCACACGACACGCACGCACTCGAATAATGTCGTAACAACCGCGTTGTAATGTGAATGCAACCGCGATGCGGTCGCGTGTCGTGACGAACGCCACCCTCGAGTTTATTTCATAGACACGATGGATCGTAACGAGAATAAAATTGTAAATGAACAACTTCCGCAAAATTATAGAATGAAATCAACCTTATAATTATTTTTACCATTTAATAATTAAAATAATCTCTTACTTTATACAACATATATATATATATATATATATATATATATATATATACAACATTATATAATGTTAAATAGTCATACAATATATTGATTATGTACTGATATCAAATATGCTAATGCAAAATTTATTTATTTATTATTAAATTTAATTGGATAAAATATTACACAAATTCAAAAAATGTATTAAATTTAATATCTTCTCATATAAGTAATACTGAAATCTAGATTTATATTTTTACAAATTATTATACATGCATATCAACATGTCTCTTTATTCTTTCTTGTAAATATATGAATATGTCTTTGTTTATGCAAATATATATATATATATATATATGTGTGTGTGTGTGTATGTATATCAGATATATATGTATATATATATCGGAAAGCTAATAGATTTTTGGTCTCACACAAAACCACAATAGAGAATGCAAAAACCGAATTGAGAGAGTGGGCAAAGGGTATCAATGCCACTTTGATTGAGGCGGTCCTGGTCGATTGTGACATGCTCACTCAGCTGTGCAGAAAGTACAACGCGCTCTCCATCAATTCGGTATATATCTGACTAAAGAGAAAAACAAAGCATTCGTATTCGTAATCGTGATCGTTTTATCATTCTGTCGCGTCACTTTCGACGCAATATCTGATCGTAAGTTTCACATTTAAACTAATACTGATATATTCACTGGTTGATGCACATAATAGATTAGATTTATATGCTTTATACATGTCATATGACATTTGCTATTTGAGATTTGTGTGAGATTGTGAGAATAAACTTCAAATCATTCTTATTTATTACGATACTTCATCATTTTATGCGAGAACTTTTATGACAAGATTGTTCCATACACACATATTTTTTAATTGAATTGATATTTGTTATTGCGGATAATATCCGATTCGACTCGAAGATGATAAAATATTTCTCCGTACTATGGATATATATATTTGCAAACCGACAAACATAAATTCAGATTCATAAAAATGGCAGAGATTTTAACTCCGTTCTATTAGGGAACAGCAGTTTGATGTAATCGGTCCATCGATTGATCGAAACTCAAAACGTGACGGCATCGATCGACGTATAGGCGGATTGCGAGAACAGTCCTAGAGAAGCTGGTATTACGCCGGACTCGGAAACCAATTAACATGCATAATTAAAATGGCATTGTCGTAGCTGGACAGCGCCACGGGGTTGCTCCCCCGTCGACTGACGGATCCCCCGGGGGCTAACGGCGTTTCATAATTACGAAAATCCACCCGCCTCCTCCGCTCACGCGTTCCGGTGTCACTCTCTTTCTCCAATTGCCGGTGTCCAGAAATTTTCCCTCCGAAAAAACAGAGGAACGGGAAGGGAATGCGTGAAAAAAATCGGGCATCGGGTCGAATGTGCGACGAATAACGCACCCTGACACTGCCACAACCAATAATGTTTCGAACAGGCCGGCACGATTGGCTAACTTTATTTCGCTCAGTGGGCAAGCCCTTAATTTCGGGGCATCGATCATAGCCCTCGTGTATGCGCCCTCCGTGCGCTTGTAACCGGGCGGTCCTCCTCTTCGCTTGCTCTCATCCTTCTCATACTAGGCGCGATGACCGTCAGTACCGTGACGCACCATCTCTCCGCTGTTCCCTCCGTCAATTTGATGGATTCCATTTCGGATCCCGCGCGATCGTTTCGCTTCCACCTCCGAGGGGACGCTACGGCACGAAAATTTGCACGAAAAAAAAAAGAAAGAAAATGCTCGAAGGCTGGTGGTCAGCATCGCGCGATAAAAGTTAATCCGCTGGTGGCGAGCCGGGCAGATTTCAAATCGCTCTATACTCGCTCGCGCATGGAAACGTTATATTTCATGTTCAATTGAAGATGAAAAGATATTTGGAAATGATTGAGACTAACATCAAATTCTTAGAAATATAAATCTGTCTAACAAAATTCTCGGAGAATAAAAGAAAAATTAAATATAATTTATGATTCGATAATGTAGATGTGAAATGTACAAACATCAGATCATTGTTTCAATTAAACCAAAAAATATATAATTTTTTTTTATGCCTAGAGATAATTTTGTATTATAATCAGGTAGCAAATTTGATAATTAAATATATCTGTATCGCATTGAAACATCTTGCAACAAAACTGAGAAAAAAGAATTGTATAAAATGATAATTTGCAAAAATAAACGACACGCAACATGCATTCTAAATATTTTTCATCGTCCCTTTCGCTTCTACGATAGCTATTGCAATGTTCCGTTATGCTTCACATAAATACCGGTTCGCGATATTCTCTCTTCTCCGAGGCCAAACGCGTAACAATCAATCGTTACCTTAATTGATTGCGATTGATGGAGGACGCTCGGCCGATTTGACTGACGTCACAATGACATACGGATTGTCAATCAGTCTCGCTTGTGGCGTTAATGCATGCAAATCTGGCCGAATCGTGGCACGTTGTCTCACACCCTTCCAGCGAATCTCCATCAATATGGATTCGATATCAAGGCCGGGCAGGCCGTTTTCTATGCGCTGAAAAGTCTTTCTACGCCACAAACATCGGGATATTTTATTCAACCGTAATTGTCCGTTTCTCTGTTTTGCCAATGCATTCATCTCTTTATTTTTATTTAACAAAAATTGACACTTGACGAGTCTTTCGCACAATCATAGTACAGAAAATTGTAAAAACGATTATAACGCTGCTTTTTCTTATTACCAATGTATTACAATGTTTGTATAATATATTAATAAATTTCTTTAATTTAATGTTATATTATTTGTTCCTTCTTACATACTCAACGGGATAATTATTATATAATATTTACGCTTTCCATAAGGAGCAGCATTGCAAAATACCGGTTTTGTGGAACAAACGTTGTAGTAAGCGGAAATAGTTTGGTGGTCCGGTAAAACTTAATCAGGTGAAAGCGCGGCCAACAAGCAACACATGTCAGACCACATTGTATTAATTCTACTTCACGTAACGAGTACGCACGCGCGTATCGGGCAACTTTTCACAAAAATAATCGAGAACGATCGACCAAGATAAAACCAATAATGATAGGTCTCGACTGCTCGCCATAGATGACTTACATTGATAAGGAAAAGCTTATTAAATGAACGATGTACGCGATGCATACTGAAATAAGCCGTCCATTCATTGGTCAAACCAAGCGATCCAGTGGGAAATCTCGCCCGACAATCATAATTAATTTTAGAATCGCCCTCTCTTTTTTAACTTTTCCACACGCGATCGGTTATACACCGACAATCAGTTTATATCGTGAAATTGTTTTTGCCCCAATATTGGCATAACGCTCAAATTGTTGACAAATTAAGTGTTTGCTGTTTACTACTTGATACCCTAACAGCAGAAATGTTCGAAAGATATTCAGAGAATATCCATAGAATGTTGCAATATTTTATGGATATTCTCTGAATATCTTTCGAACATTTCTGCTGTTAGATATTATATATCTCTAAAATATATCTTAATGAAATTGATTTATATAGCACTAATAAAAATATTTAAATATCTTTTATGTGTCATTTTTTGTGGAAAACTATATTTTTTTATTCTTGATGACAGTAACGTCAAGCAAAATATAGACAGTGTTAGTATTTTTGGTTCAACTGCTTTCAAAAAGACTATTTTCTGACGTGACTATTAAGGAAATCAAAACATAGTGAGTGGTAAGGCACGAGATGTCTCTCTCTTTTTCTCTATCTATATATATATTTATTTCGCTCTTACTCCTCCCTCTCTCTCTTGTATGCGAAGCATATGGGTCCCTATAGTTGGAGGGTATCACACCCTCCATTCTCAACATACCCCTAAAATAAATGGACAAGAGTGCGCGTGCACGCTCTTGTATTAAAACGAAAGCGGCTGATCGTTCGAGCGCGAAATCGCCGATTAAATATCCTGATATTTGCGCTGCTAATTATTTTTCGGTAAATCGGGTAAAAAAATGGGTAAACAAACAAAAATATCAAATCGATGTTCTTGTAAAAAACTGAAACAAAGAAATAAAGTAAAAAAATGACAAATTGTTCCGACGTGTACAACAATATTTGTTGTAAAATTCCAAATAGTTTAGATGAATAATATCTATTTTGTCGACATAATCTTTTCCAGAAGATGTAAAATATTAAAGAGATACATAAACTGAAAGGAAAAAATGTCAATTCTAAAATGGTCTAGCCAGGGACTTTAAAATCGTAAATTTATCCAATTAGTTAATTCGCAAAAAATTATATCTTCCTGTAATCGTCAAACAAATATAGAAAGAGAAACTAAAGACATAATTTCTGGTGAGTGATGGACATAATGCGCCTAAAATAGTCGTTTCGGTCGCGAAATGCATTTGGAATCTATATTGGATATTATCGATATCTCAATCTATTCAGTTAGTTTATGGAAAATTTATGCCTAGCTAAACTTGTCGTTCCATTATGTATCAGAATCAATTCTAGAATTAATTAGAATCAATTAGAATTGTTGGAACATATCATTTAATACATTTTTTCGTAATCTTGCGTGCAGAAAAATCATTTGCACACTCTAGTTTTCCAGAAAATAGAAGATAGAAATATTCTCTTCCTCTTATAGTTATTCTTAGAAAATAGATTTTTTTAACATATTTAAACTACACATATATATAAACTAAAATTCTTTAAATATCACATTTTTACATCGAGTTTTTTACTTCAAAAATTCCTTTTATTATATACCTAAAAATAAAATATTTTACGTGCAATGCGCATCAATAAAATTTAATTAGTTAATTATAACGTTTTTTTGATAATAATCGATGATTAATAAAATTGTCTTGATAAAAAATATATATGTAAATTAATAATTATATAAATAAATATGTATATATAACAATGATAAATTATTAAATTAAGGCCATGTGTAACGAGCAATACGATATTATTTTATTATTGAGAAGAAAATTCTTAATTGACATAATAATTATACAAACGTTTCGAGCTCTACTTGCTCCTCTTCAGTGCGCAAAAAAATAGTGATAATAAATACCGATAATAAATAAATACATAAAATTCTAATAAAAAATCCGCAATACATAGTCAATATAAGTTATATAGTTGAGTCATAGTTAAAACGCAAAATATATTTACAATGAATTGAGACCATTAAATAGTTCAACAAAGTAAGAACCCAATTAGAAGCAGAATGATTCGTCCGGTTATTCATAAAATATATTAGAATTATTAATAAAAACTTGGAGTGACACTTATACATTACTCCAAATGAACCACTTATCGTTATTTGACGAAAGTCCCTCGATCTGGCAATGATTATGTTCATCCTCTCCAAATTATTTGATATTTGTTAACTGAATTTAAAGAATTTATTCAATTGTAAAATAGGATTCCACTAATGTGTATGTGAAAAAAGATTAAAAATTATAAATTAACTAACTACTAAAATATTGAACCTTTATGCTTACAAATTGTTCCGAATAACTTGAGATGACGATGCTTCTAATTGTTGTTGGCCTTATTGTTAGTACTTGACTGTTGTCTAGTCTTTTAAAAAGTCGAATAAATAGGTGTCAGATCTCACAAAATAAACATTTACATAAGTCTAAAAATTCGATATTTCTTCTAGAATGTCGAAATACGCGTTGTTAAGCAATTCGGTGTCTGTGTTATTATTTATACCATGCCTTTGTTCCTTGATGTGTATCATTTCCGAGATAAGTCTTTTATAATAATTAGATTCAATATCAAGTATTTTAACGTTATCCCAATCAAAAGCATGTTTTTTATCTATAATATGTTCAGAGACCACAGAATGCTTGGAGGAATCAAATTTAATATTATTCATATGCTCTTTTAGTCTAGTGCGTAATTTTCTTTTGGTTTGCCCAACATACGAAGCTTCACAATCCTTACAATTAATTTTGTAGACAACATTATTATTATTGTTATGCACGTTTTTGTCCTTGTGGACTTTAATTAATTTGTTAAGATTATTTAGACAACGGTATCCTACTCTGAAATCTGATTTTTTTATTGTCGATGCTATTGTCTCAGAAATGTTATTAATGTATGGAATGACGAAAAATTTTTTCTTGCTAT